GGCTCAATAGATCGGGAAGAGAGCAACCACATACCATCGCTCGCTCACTTCTCGATTATCTCCCTGCAGAGAGCTGTGACTGCCACTCACGGCTCCCTGCAGGGATTCCACACACACACACACACACACACACACACCCCCTCCGCTCCGATCCTCCAGTGTTGACTGGCGGAACGGACGGACGGAGGAGGGGGTGGGCAGAGCCAACTGTCACTCACGCATCTGGGTGGATCTCGACAGTAATGTCGGGATCCGTCCCGGCTGCGAAAGTCTCAGTATACCATGAACTGTAGCTCGCGATATACTGAGCTTTAGTATAGAAAGGATTGTCACCAGCACACCAAAGGTTTTGAAGCAAAAAGCCCTTTATTGACAAATCACCATCCAGATTTGGATGGCGATTTGTCAATAAAGGACTTTTTGCTTCAAAACCTTTGGTGTGCTGGTGACAATCCTTTCTAGATCTGCATTGTTCACGGGGCCATCCGTGGTCACTACAAGCACCCACCTGCTTGGCAGGTTTACTACTATTCCGGTAAGGAGTGCAGCTGGTTCTTGACTACATGTAATACTGAGCTTGGGGTCACGGGAGGTGGTTAGTATATGTTATCCCGTGACCCTTAGGAGAACTATGGGGAAAAACACTTACCCCATATTTCTCCTTTAAGCTTTAGCCAGGAGACTGCAATTGTTTTCAAATATCATTGGACTGAATATCCTGGTATGTTAGCTTTGTGAATTGAGCCTATGGTCAGTGCAATTCTCTGATAATTTCCCAGGTGCTAGGAGCAACTGTGAGATGGACTTTGTTTTATAGACTGATATGGTAATAAATACTGATCAGCTTTGCTTGTATACATTAGTTAATGGAAACCTGTGCTGGGAGAAATATAGAAGGTGCAGCTGCTGACTTTTTTTTTCTGATATGAACTAGTTGTCTGACTAGTTGTCTCTGACTTCTATACTTTTAGAGACACTGATGCAGAACAAATATACAACAAGTAAAGTTAGAATAATGTCAGAAGTTCTTCCTTTGTATTTTATGTGAGAATCTATTGAAGCTATTGGTTTGGCATGACGACCTGGAAAACAATTGGCCATGGCAGCCTATATATTTATTATTTTCCCTTTAAAATAGTTCCTTTTTCTTAAAACAGTTGGCTTTAACATATTCCCAAGTAAAGACTTGCTTCACAGTTAGGACATAGAGGGGACACAGATATAGTTAGGTGGAGTTTAACAGTTATATAGGTATTTGGCTTCTGAAAATCATAAGGGCAATCATGTGCAGTATTGTGTAAAAACTCTGTTCTCATGGATGATACATAAATAAACTGTAATATAAGTGACTTGTAAATATAATTCAAATGTTAAGTTTAAAAGATGATGAATTGAAGGGAAAGAGGACAATTGCCACACAAAGTAACACAAAAAAACCCACAAATTATAGTACCTAAAAAAACACCAGCAACTGTGAAATCACAAACAACAACCAAGAAAGGATAAAAATGCATTTAAAATGAACTATTCATTAAATACCTAGTCCACCCAAAACTGATATTTAATTTTTCCCCCTACATTCTAGAGATTTAAAACACATAGGGGGTTATTCACAAAGCTGCCGAAGTCAGCCAAGTGAATAACCCAACTAAAGTGAAGTGAGCCGGAGGCTATTCAGCTATTCACTTCAGTCTTGTACGGCTGATTTCAGCCGTACATCAGCTGACCCGGAGTGCAGCAGGAGTTCAACTCAGCCGATCCAACATCTGGATCGGTTGTGCCGAAGCGCCGGCAGCTCACTTGCTGCCATTCGCTCCTATTCTCAGCGGCATTCGGCTCGGCTGTTCTGCTCGGTACATCAGAGGTACAGAGCAGAATAGAAGTGAAAAGAATGAGAGAAAAAAAAGTTGAAAAATCATTTTAAAAATGATTAAAAAATAGGAAAATTAAAAAAAAAGAAAATATTTTAAAGAAGAAAAGAAAAGCAATTGGGCGTAGCTAGCGGTGGCTGGGCCAATCACACGCCTCCCTGATGGTATGGCATGATGAATAAGTATCTGCTTATAATTCTCAGCATTGAGGGCACCATTGATCCTGACCAAATGTCCAACATGGCAGCAATCCAGCCCCAGACTTGCAAGGAACCTCCACCATGCTTCACTGTTACTGCACACACTCATTTTTGTACTGATCTCCAGCCCTTTGGCGTACCCATTGAACAGTGTTTGTTAAAATTTGTTTTTGCATTGGTACATGTCCCCCAGATCAGTGGCCAGATTCCTATGCCCTTTTTGACAGCCCCTTGCCTATTAGCCTTGAAAATAGAGATAATTGATTTTCAAGATTAACCTCCCATTGACTTTAATGGGATTCGCATTAAAGTTCAGTTTAATGCATCTGCAAATTGAAACGAATCTAGTTTATCCATCACTATTTAGAGGTGCTTTGATGCAGCAGTGTGGCTTTGCAAATGTATGTAACTAAAACTTTAGTTTTTATCCTGGATAGTTAAGTTATGGTATTTTTGCTAGCTGGCTTAAATGTGTGCTGGGGATCCCATTTGAATTGTTATGTGTTGACTAACCAGTGAGAATTGCAGAGAGTAGGACCGTAGCAATGATTGCTGTGAGTGCGACCTTAGTGATCTAGAGCAGTGGTCCCCAACCCCCGGGCCGGTACCGGTCCGTGGATCAAATGGTACCGGGCCGCCCAAGGAACGTGTGCGACTTTCCATGGACGAGAGGTTTAAGGCCGTGACACACTGCAGGCGAAGCAGCGTGGCGCACAGGCGAGCGGCGACTCGTGGTCCTTCGCCTGCAGTGTGTCTAGTTCCGATCCCCCGCTCTGCCCGGCGACAGCGTGCGTAGCGCAGCGTCGTGAGATGAAAAAGTTCATTAGCTCTTAGAATTCTTGGAGGAAGTAGAGTAGCAGGTTGTGGTGTTATGCAATTGTGATATCCTGCCATCTGTTCATGACTTGGCCTCTGGGGACAGAACATGTCTGTGATATGGATGTATAGAGGGAATTAATAAGAGTTGATATCACATTATAGAGGGAGTGGATATCACCAGAGATATTATAATCTGTTGTTTACAGAAAACCAGACGTCACCATTGTAATTTGAATAGGCAGCTCAGGCCTAATTGACACGCAGCTGCTAAATGGCCCCCTGTATGGTGCATGCAGGGGCGTAACTAGAAATCACAGGGCCCCATAGCAAAATTTTGTATAGGGCCCCTCAACCTCCTCTGGTGCTTGAACTACAGTATATGTTATCATTATTATTATTATTATTAATATATAATACAATTAAATGCATTTTGCAATAGATCACTGTCCCTGAATCCGTCCAGAGACAATGATCTATTTAAAACCACATTTAATCATATCACGTACATTACATGCGTATTGCCGCACAGGTATGGCCACTGTCACCCAGTCATTAACTTCCGTGGGTACAGTGGCCACATCTAAGTGGGACACCTGACATTCCTGCCGCAAGAATCCATATGTTTCTCCTGCTGTAATGCCAGAACGCCCGGTGTGAACGAGGGCTACTCCTTTAACAGAGCCACCAATGAAGCTGGGAAAATGGAATTTGCAATGACACAAGGGGGGGTTATAATTATATTTATAATTATAACTTAAACTTAACATTAACTTCCGTGGGTACAGTGGCCACATCTAAGTGGGACGCCTGACATTCCTGCCGCAAGAATCCATATGTTTCTCCTGCTGTAATGCCAGAACTAGAAAAAAACATGGTACCTGCATGAATCTATAACTAGCCTTTACGGCAGGGTGCACATTGGGAAGGCTTACAACAATACAAAACACAGAAAATCCCCAGCTCACCTGCCAGCTAGCCTGCAACCAAACAAATTGCCCTGTCAACAGTATGCGTTAAAATCAGAGGTTTTAGTTGCACAAACTTTTGGCCAAAAATATGTAGAAGCCACACTGCCGCGCCAAGGCACCTCTGCAAAGTGTGGTCCTAACTCTATGTATCTGAGTCTCCAAGTGTGAGCATATTAATGCAGTCGATAAATTGCATGTAGGTGTACCAGGAGGTCGCCAACTCTTCCTAATAAGGTGCAGGGACGCACTGGAGGCCCAGCAACCAAAAATGCACGCTGGGACCCCAGTGCGTCCTCTCAACCAAAAATAGTCAAACTAGAAAAAAAACATGGTACCTGCATGAATCTATAACTAGCCTTTACGGCAGGGTGCACATTGGGAAGGCTTACAACAATACAAAACACAGAAATCTTGGCGCGGCAGTGTGGCTTCTACATATTTTTGGCCAAAAGTTTGTGCAACTAAAACCTCTGATTGTAATGCCAGAACGGCCGGAGTGAACCAGGCCTACTTCTTTAACAGAGCCACCAATAAAGCTGGGAAAATGGAATTTGCAATGACACACGGGGGGTTATAATTATATTTATAATTATAACTTAAACTTAACATTAACTTCCGTGGGTATAGTGGCCACATCTAAGTGGGACACCTGACATTCCTGCCGCAAGAATCCATATGTTTCTCCTGCTGTAGCGCCAGAACGACCGGAGTGAACGAGGCCTACTTCTTTAACAGAGCCACCAATAAAGCTGGGGAAATGGAATTTGCAATGACACAAGGGGGGTTATAATTAGACTTAAAAAAACACTGGGGTTTATAATTTGAAATCCCAAGTTTCCCCAGCTTCCCTGGTGTGGTAGTGTTATTTTAAGTTATAATTACACTGCCACACCAAAGAAGGATTACACAGTGCAATATAACTAATTTTCCTTAATTTATTGTGTGTGGCAGAGTAAGTATAACTTAAAATAACAGTTACACCAGTGAAGCTGGGAAAAGTGGGGTTACAAAGTGGGTGCAGTGTGGATACACAGTGTGGGTGGTGTGGATGCACAGTATGAGCAGTGTGGATACACAGTGTTGGCAGTGTGGGTGCACAGTATGAGTGGGCACTGTGGGTGGGTGGGCACTGTGGGTGGGCGATGCGGGTGCACAGAGTGGATGGTTGGTGTGGTCGGGTGAGTAGGTGCACAGAGAGGGTGGATGGTAAGGGTGGGTGCACAGAGTGGGGGGTGGTCGCACAGAGTGGGTGGGCAGTGTGGATGCAAAGCATCTCACCTCTTTTCCCCTTGCTAGCTTCTTTCTCTACTCTACAACTCTAGGACCTGACTCCCCCCTGTCCCACCCCCCCCTATTGAGTAGCCTTGGAGTGGGAAGGGCAATTTGCATATTAGTGAGCATGGCAGGATTTGCATATGAATAAACTACTGCGGCTCATTAATATGCAAATCACACAATTACCATATGAATGTGCCGCAGATATTGTTAATGGCTCCTGCAGCTATCTTTTGTTGCTTTTCCTTTCTATTACAAAAAAACAACTAAAACAGCTTAATCCCAGGCCTTTGGAAAGCTTTTAAAGTGTGTATTTACACTCTTTTTGGAGGATGATTTTGTCCCAATCCCCCCCTCTTTGATTATGATGTACCCTTTCTAGAAATATTGAACTTTAGGCCATTGCAGGAGCCCCCATGTTTAAATGCAAAATGTCACGCCACTGGTGAAAGGAAATTCACAGTACAGTATCCACAGTATCATGAGAGCATCCTGTATTCAATATTGATTTGTAAAACAAAAGTTTTATATACATATTGTAAAACAAAAACATTAAGGGGGTTATTCATGAAAGAACCGCAGACTCACTGAAGTGACCATCACTGTTAGAAGATCTACTAGAAAACCGTCACTGCTAGCTCCGCCCAATTGTTTTTTTTAATTTTTTATAATATCTTTATTTATTTTTTCTACTATTTACGGAGCAGAATAGCCAAGCCGAATGAGTAATAAGACCATTATTACATAGTATTTGTTACATAGTTACAAATACTATGTAACTATTGTGATGTTTGGGGAATTAGCTGGACCGCAGGACACAGGCTTTCTCAGACAAACTGCATTTATTTTCCACAGCAGCAACAATAAACAGTCATTTCCTTCAGTACAGCAAAACAACTTAAAAGATTACTTCCTTCCGCATAGAAATAATACACTGTACCGTTTGCTTCCTTCAGCACAGGAAAGAATAACAGCCTCACCGGCTTGGAGGGTTTCAGTCCACAAGGTTATCACACTCTTAACTTCAGAGTTTCTCTCTCTCAGCCCACAGGCTCCCAGTAAAGTTCAGCTGCTTCAAAGCACCAGTACTTCCATCTGCTCCACAGCCTTGTCTGCAAACATTAATCAGGGCTTCTCTCTCCCCCTCTGTCTCTAGCTTCCTATCCTTTTGAACACACTTCCTGCAGAAACTGTTAACCCATTTCTGTCCCTTAAAGGGACCACAACCCGAACAAAGGGAAATATACACTTCTCCCAGGACCCATCTTCTGGCGTCCTGTACACTATGTAACTATGAATGCCGCTCGGTGGCATTCGGATATTCACTCACTGCCGTTCAGCCTCTATGTGAATAGTGGCGAACGGCAGTGAGTGAGCTGCCGGAGCTTCAGGTCAGCTGATTCAGATGTCCAGAGTCCTGATCCAGCTGATCCAGAGTTCTTCTGCACTTAGGCTCAGCTGAACATGCAGAGCATGTTCGGCTGACCGAAGGCAGCCATACAGAGCCGATGTACGGCTGATTTCAGCCGATGTACGGCTGAAATCAGCCGTACCAGTCAGAAGTGAATAGCCGAACAGCGTTCAGCTCACTTCCCTTCGGCTCGGTTATTCACTCGGCTGCCTTCGGCAAGTTAGTATGTAGGACATAGTATAACATGTATGTAGGGATGCACCAATACCGGTATCAGTGCCAATACTGGGCATTTTCAGGAGTACTCGTACTTTTGAAAATGCCTCGATACTAAGCGCCTATAGTGGCGCTGTAAATTTGCAATGCTGTAAACTAGCGCCATGGTTCACAGAAAGGCTGCCAAGTTCTCCCTCTTGTAGAGGCCACACATTTCCTCCTTCCTGAAACCACGCCGCCCACACCTGCCACTGAGACCAACTGGAACCCCCGGTGAGACCCTGCACAGCCTCCTGAAACCCCACATAGCCCTTCTAAGACCCCACACTGCCCCTGAGATACTCCATTGGAGACATCAGGCAGGCACCCTGGAGCAGTACAAAATATGTAGCTTCATATTATTCTGCATTGATGTATAATGCATTGCTAGGATTTGTAGTCCTCTATAGCCAGTTGCCATTCGGCATTGTTGTATAATGTATTGCTGGGATTTGTAGTTCTCTATAGCTGGTAGTATTCTGCATTGCTGTATAATGTATCACTGGGATTCGTAAAGTATCGTAATTGGTATTGGCGAGTACTTGAGGAAAACTATCGATACTCAGACTCGGTATGGAAAAAATTATATTTGTGCTTCCCTACATGTATGACATACAATTATGTCATACAAGATAAAGTTTTGATTTATTGTTTTTTTCAGCACAGGACGCAGAATGTGATCAGCTAATAATTATGAGCTATATATTTTAATGGTCTTCTGTCATAAAGTTATTTTATGACTAAGCATGTTTCTGCTACCACTAACATCAGCTGTAATAGCCGGTTTTAAAAAGTGCCAGAGAACAGAGAGATTATTAAACCACAGAATTATTATCCTTGTGAGTACTGGCTGGACATCGGCTTCTTTCCTGCATCAGTCTCCAGGTATGACTCTTATATCAGGGGTTTCTGGCTGGAGTGGCTGGTTGTGTACTGTTAAATAGGTTATATTGACATCACCTGGCTATACAGTGGAGTCAAGGGTTATGAATCACATTCATAAATGTCATAGTAAAAGCTGAAAAATTATAGGATATTGTAAAAATTCTAAATAATGATAGGAAGGATGATGATGATCATCATTATTATTATTATTAATAATGTTATAGGCATCAAAGCAGAAATTAGAAGATAAAGACTCCAAGAATAAAGCAGAAAATAAAAAAACAAAGGGGAAAAAAGAAGACACTACAGGCACTGAAGAAAAATCTCCAGGTGAGAAAGAAATGTGAACAAAGTATGTGAACATGAAAAATGTGAACTAAATGTACCACAGGGATAAAGACAGTGGTATAAAATATCCATATAAAGTTCCCTGAAACTTTATTTGGGCTGGTGTTGAAACACTTTGAATGTAGTAAACATCCAAGTAGATTGGACCATTATTGCCTTGTTCAATAAATGATGTAATTGATTGTATACACATTTGTTTTGTGTTTTCCCTTGCTCTAATGGGAAAACACAACATAGCTACATAGTTAGTCAGGTTGAAAACAGACACATGTCCATCGAGTTCAACCTATAGAGATATGAAAGGAAGAAAAGCCTAAACAGAATGATATGCCCCCAAATTACCCACTGTTGATCCAGATATATTTAGGGTTTGGTGGTTAAGCTTAAAGCCCATTTCCACCTTTGCAGAGTTATTTAAAAAAAAAAAACATATGCCAGCAATGAACACTAAGAGGGTTATTCACAAAATGGTGAAGAGTTTGGAGAAGGCAGGAGATGTGAACAATCTAGCACAACATAGCTGAATTGGAGATTCAGCTATGTTGAATCTGCCTTCTGCCTGCTTCTCCTTGTTCACTTCTCCTGCCTTCTCCAAACTCTTCACCCTTTAGTGAAAAACCCATGAGTGTACACAAAGTAGGCATATGCAGTCGCTGTATATGAAAACAGAATCTTACATTTTTTGTTAGCTTTCCTCTTCATATTCTCATGGAAATGCCTCTGTGTTTTGCAAGCTCTTTTTGAGCTCTCCCATTCGTTAGTATTCATAGTGGCACTCTCCCCTCCCTCTTCCCCCAGACTTTTTTATTTTTAGGCTCCAGGCCTAATAAAATCTTCATTAAAAAAAATGAGGAAAGTCTAACATGTGAGTCATGAAAATGTGCACATGTATACATCATCACTGCACCACTTCATTACCATAATAAATGCTCATTATTACAACGGTGGAAATGGTCTTTAAAGACAGACAACCAACAATAAATACAACAAAGTTGCCATTGGGCTTAAGGAAAAATTATACAGGGTATGTTAATTTTAAAATTGTTTCTTAATATGAATCTACTAAAACACAATCTACAGAATCTGCTTCAAGTAAGTGCATATCATTCAGGCCCTTCAATTTACAAGACAATCAGCATTGCCCATTGTCAGAGAAAAGTACTATACATAGTGCCCTGCAGCCCATAGTCTCTCTGTTTGAGAACTAGTGTAAAATAATACCACAATGTTTATATCTATATACTATATCTATATAATATATATTATATTTGTAATTAAAGCAACTAAGAAAGTAAAAAAGAAGAAGGAAGAAGATAACAAAGACAAAGAAGTTAAAAAGAAGTCCAAAGAATCTACGGGGGGTAAAAAGGAGACAACAATATCACGCTTCAGTGCCACAAAAACTTCCAAACAAAAAACAGGTGAGATATCTTTTATCAAATGATCTCTTAATGGCATATAGTGTAGTAAAAAAAGATGAATATTGTCTAAATATGTAATACCACACAGATACTAAAGCATTTTATAGATGTGAAATTGAGAACAAGGTATTATGAAATAAAAGTGCAGTATGATCTCATGAGTTTTTTTTATGTTGGCAAGGGTATTGACTAGAATAGATAGCTTAGAAAAAAAGATAATGTTGTTTGTGATTTTAGGACACTGCATTTCTGGCAAGATTGACAGGAATACTTCTTAACATACTGAAAATGTTCTTTCACCTAAAAAAACCGAATGCCACCACATCCAGGGACTGGAAAACTATAATATATTACATTTTTGTTCTAGGATTTAGATATACTTTAAAAGTATTTATGGCCTTTCAAAGAGGTCCCTGCATTGTCCCTGACAATTATTTTAGCTTCTTCCCTTCCTATCTTTGTTTAGGCATCCTCTAGGATCAGACTTTACTTCTGGGCATAAATGTTTGTCCAGGGGTGACTGGTACAGAAAGAGACTCTCATACATGGGTTTGAAGATTATGATAAAATGATGATAAAGAGAGGATATACGAGGGTAACTCTGAAATTTTTTAGATATTCAAAACATAGGTCGTTTATAAATTCTTTACTGCGCATGTGTTAAAATGCAACATCTTCCAGCAGCCGCAAGACACATTACGAAGTGACGAGTCATGCAGCTGCAACGAGAGTACTACCGCGCTATGATTTTGTATGATTCTTGTATTTATACTGCACCGATGCCTAGTGATCAGTGGTTTATACTTTGCATACATTGGTATTGTTATAATAATCTATTTGACAAGGTTCATTTGCTATTCATTTGAAATTCAATTTAGAATCAGAGAAGGATTCAGAGGAGGAAAAGGTTGTCAAAAAGGCAAAAAAGAAGGAGGTGAATAAAACAGAATCAGAGAACAACAACAAACAGAAAAAGACAAAAGGTGGGTGATCTCGAAACATCACAATGCAAAAAAAAATACAATACCTAACAGGGAAAATAATGGTTGGCAAGGGTCATTTCTAGTCAGACAGTACACTTGCCCACCCCTTCTAATAAAATATTGGTCATCCACAAGGCATCCTAGTTTTAAACCTAGGGCTTAATGGATGTCCAGGGGACAGCTACAACCTTCAGGCTTCTGCAGGAAACCAGAGAGATTGTGCAATTGGTCAAATATGGGCACCTGTCTGTAGCTTCACAAAGCTTGATGCACTTGTAGGCAGTTAATGCACGATGAGGCTATGCCAGTACAACAATACAAATAGTACGCTTTGTCTGTGCTTACTGTATTGTGCTAGCAACATCAATCTAAGGGATGGGAGGCTAAAACCGCTACCTTCTTTAGGGTCCTATTCTGCCTTAATTCATGTCTAGATACCACAGTATTAGAAATAGTGATGAGAGAACGTGCTTGTGTTCGATTTGTAGGCTGCTCATCTAACTCATAAATTCTGGAAATAGTAAACTTTAATCTGAACCCTTTGGAAGTCAAAGGTCAAATCTTGAAAATCAATTCTAGTCAATTTAATCGCTAATATGCAAGAGATTGTTAAACAAAGGGCATTAAGAGCCGGGCGTGACATTGAGAGACAATGTAAAGAAACATTTTAAAAGTCGTGTTCAGCAGGTGGAGGGTCCTCCATTTTATGCAACTTCAGTTACATGCTTGGGAGATGCCTTTAAGCTGTGTGTGGTGGTACAGAGCAGTACAATTCTCACAGACAGTGTCAGCTATAAAACATGCTGGCATCACATAATTTGCATGTGTAATACATTTTTTACCTTTATACTATTGCTTGGCATTAAAAAAACATCACCCCAATCTGATTAATTATTAATAACTATGAAAATAAAGTTTTATGTGCTTGTGGATGCAACACCTGATTTCTTAAACCATTCATAATAGGCATGAATTGAGAAGTGGGATTAGCAGGCAATCACAACAAATGTAAAGCTATGGAAAAATCTATTCTTTAAAAAATGAATCTTAAAACCTCAACTTTGTATAAATTGACCAGTGGCACAAAAATCTGATAGTACAGTTGGTGTGCTTCTTTTTTATTGCAGTAGCACACTGCATTGTCTTAACATGTCAAAAGAAAGTGCACAAAAGCACTTTAAAACCTCAACCCCCACCTCCTCTCCCATTCTATAATAGGGATTATTTGTAACAGACATGAATTTACCGGTGGGATTAGCAGGCAGCGACAACAAATCTAAAAGCTATAGGAAATTGTACTTTTAAAAAATGTAAGCTTAAGACCTCAGCTTTGTACAAATTGGCCAGTGGCACAACAGTTTGGTAGTGTAGTTGGTGTGCTTCTGAAAATATAGGGGTCTATTCGCTAAGCTGCCGTAGGCAGCCGAGTGAATGACCGACCTAAAGCGAAGTGAGCCGAACGCTGTTCAGCTATTAACTTCAGGCTGGTACGGCTGACTTCAGCCGTATATCGGCTGAAATCAGCGGTACATCGGGTGGCTTCGGGTCGGCCGAACATACTCAGCATGTTCGGCCGACCCGAACTGCAGAAGGAGTTCGGCTCAGACGATCCAACTTCTGGATGGGCTAAGCCGACCCTCCGGCAGGCTACTCACTGCTGTTCGGTCTATTCTTATAGATGCCAAACAGCAGTGATTGAATAGCTGAATGCCGCCGGCTGTTTCTAGATTCCTATTGGCTATTTCAATTTGCAATAGCCAATAGCAAACTATCTATTGTACCCGCCCTCTGCTGCTGTCAATTAGTAGTGGGGATTTGATGGAGAACTGCAGCAGAGGGCGGGTGCAATGCTAGTTTGCTATTGGCTATTGCAAATTGAAATAGCCAATAGGAATCTAGCAATGCATTCCTATGGCCAAAAATTATTATTTTTTATTTTCTATTCTGACACGGCTCCGTGTTAGAATAAAGAAAAAGCAGTGTTTCTCTCCCAGGCGGCTGGGAATCGACTGAGCCGCTCGCCCAAGTTCGGGAGCTGTATGGGCTATAGTGAATACTACTGAACCGAAGGGGTCCTGGGGCCGAAGCTAGCCGAAGCATCGGCCGAAGCTACGGCTGGGATCCTTCGGCTGCTTCGTGAATAGACCCCATAGACTTCAGGTATGTGTTTGAGGAGCTTCAGGACAGCACTTGAGCACTTGATTAGGCAGCAGATAGAAAGAGTTCTGCAGTGTATCCACATAGTGAAGCAGCACTTCAATGAGAAAAGTAGGCAGCAAAAGACCTGCATTCATGGTCAGGATAAGGTCCTTGAGCTGCCAAGGTGAAAAGAAGAAAGGTTTCCCCTGCATGCATGCAAGTTCAGCAGCATAGGTTTTGGGTTCTGCCCTTTTTGCACCTGCCTCCATCAGTTTATGGCCTATACTGCACCACAGAGGCATGTAACCAGATCCAATTTTTTGCAAGTTCTGCTTGCATTCATATGGACTATGCTGTCAGCACAGACATGTGGTCCAGGAAGTATGGGCTGCATTGGTATATTACCTTGCAGTGGCTGGGAACGATGCAAGGTGGGGGCACCATGCTGTAGCTGGTAGTTCCACCCCATGTCAAGCACCTTGGTAACTGTGACTGTGGCTTAATAACCTCTCCCCATCTTCTCATCAATGGCCTCAAGCAGTCAGTCCTCAGAACCACCAGTTTCCCCCAAGCATCGCTTAGCTTATATAATGTCCAGGCAAAACACTGTCATGCTGTTTTACAGCTGGTATGCCTGGGGATATGAGCCACACTGGGCCATATACTCTGTAGGGACAGGCAGGCTGAAAGGTGGCTGACCCCATGCCAGCTTGTGCCAAGCCACAAATGACCAGAATGTTGAACATCAATGAGACTCTTGTGTTCATGCTGGAGCACACACTGCATGGTGTAATAGACTGGCCACTGGAGGCACAGCAGCATGAGGAAGGGGAAAACTGCCTGTTGTTGCAGGGCCAGTAAGATCCTTTGTCTACTGCCTCCACTGTTTAACCAATCCCTTTCCTCCACCACTGAGTGTCCATACTGGACTACTGGCTGGAGGTGGCTCTACATGCTCTTTAGGTACTGGCGTGCCCAAATGCAGCAGGGAGGAGATAAACTATGATAGCCGGGTTGAGCGCTGTGGGAGGAGAGCACTGTGAGTGGCCGGTGTCTCTCCTCCCACACCGCTCAGCCTCCTATCACAGTCCTGCTGAGTGGTGTGTGGGCAGAGACAGACAGCGCTGTCACAGGAGGCTGAGCGCTCCTCCCTACACCACTCGATCAGCCTCCTGTGACAGCGTGTCAGAGAGGCTGATCGTGTCCTCAATCTCTTTTTCGACTTTAAAAGGGAAATATCAGGGGTCTGTTTAGATCCCTAATATTTCCCTAATATTTCCCCGAAGCCCCTAAAAGTAAAGTAAAAAATAAAAATATTTAATAAAAAATTAATTAATACATAAAAATAAATATAAAAAAATAATTAAAAATAACATATTTGAAAAATTTGAAAAAATTAAAGTAAAAAACAGTTTCAGTTTCGGCCTGACAATTTTTTTAATTTTGGTTTCGTTTCAGTTTTAAAATCTCCATTTCGGTTCCACTCTAGTCTGGAGATGATCCAGACATGGTGTGAATGGGCCCTTAATGTTGGCATCTTTAGCAAACTAAAAGTTGACTGTAATGTGAGTCTGGTTTCAGGGGCGAAATTGTCCTTTTTTTCTCCCAAGGAACTAAAAGTGACCTTCAAAGCAAAAATAATGAAGTCAAAACTAAGAAGAAAGATACCGGAAGCATGTTCCAAGCAAACGGCGAGAAAAAAGACAAAAGTAAAAAGAAAGGTATGCTGATATGTATAAGTAAACTATCAATAGAGGCTAAATTAAATCTCAGACGACAATATGATATACCAGTTCTGTTTATTGAAATATTGATCTGAATTTCCATGTAAACATACACAGAGGAATGTGTGGGACACAAATCTTGAATCCATCTATCTTTGAAAGATGAAACACATAATTTTGTAACACAAGAATACACTGTTGTTCCAGTATAAGAGTGTACCCTAGGGGTATCTGCTGCGCATGGATACCTGCACGTTCCTAGGATATGACTGTTTATTAATAGAAAACAGAATTTGAGGCTGACAGACGTAAACATCACAACATCTTGTGTATAGTTCTATGATCTATGGCTATATTGTTATCTATTAGCTATTATACTGTATAAACCTTTAACAGTCTATAATGTTTAATGTTATTTTTCTTCTAGGTACAGCAGGCAGTGATAAAGATTCAGACTCTAGTTCAAAGCCTTTAAAATCTGAAAAGAAAAATACAGCTTCAATGTTTAAGTCCAAAAGCGAAGGAACTACAGACAAAAAAGAGAAGAAAAAAGGTATTGTCAGAATGTAATACTCTTATCAGTAATGATAACAGTATACAATGAGGGGGATTTATCAAAACTGGAGCAGACAAAATCCGGAGCAGTTGCCCAGGGCAACCAATCAGCTGCTCTCTTCAGTTTGATCAGTTAAGAATTTAAAAGTAAAGAGAGAAGCTGATTGGTTGCCATGCACAGCTGCTCCAGATTTTGTCTGCTCCAGTTTTGATAAATTTCCCTCATTGTGTAGAATTTTGAATACTTTAGAACTGTAAAAAATGTGTGCTTTTATAAATTAAAAATACACCAGTTATATTGCAAATATAGATGCAACTCATCATTCTATACTTTCTCTACAGCTATATGGTCTTTGCTGCACCCATGACAGGCTCTGTTCATTGCAATTCTTTAACTTACTCCATTGGGTTTGATGGACAGATCCATTCATCCACAAAGTTAAAGGCAGCATCTTACAGCTGCAGCAAAGCCCACATACCAGAAAAGTAATGGCAGAGTAGTACGCTACATCAATTTCAAACTGGATTTAAAGTGAGCCTGTCATTTTTTATGCAGGACAAAGAAACTGGCTCATTTTAAATATAGCCCAGACAGGTGCTGTTCAGCTTCCAGGGGTGAGGAGAGTTATCCATTAACCTCTATGGTGTCCCCAACAACACACACACACAAAACTACTGGGAGCACCAGAGGACCAATATACTGCATTGGCCCTGGGCAGGCCAGACAGTGAAAAATACAATTCATAGACATTTAACGTAACTTCTTTAAAGTAACTTCTTGGCTGATTGCATTTATTTATTTGTGTGGGTTTTTTTTGGTCAGTGTGTGATTTACAGAATGAGGTGTTTAGTAAGCAAAGTTTATGTACGCTTAGCTTTGGTGAAAAAGGTGAAGCTATTAATTAGGGCTGTGGAAATTAAATCACATTATTATTCTGAGTTGCCCCACTCAAGCAGCGGCCATATTGAGTGGGGCACGTGAGATTAATAACGTGCTGGATTAGTGTGATACTAGTTCATTTTATTACTTCATTGCTGTGCTGTATGTGTATAGGCCAATGTAGTTGGATCTGTATGTGCGTTATAATTATCGAAATTAATCGATTAAAAAAAATTTCGATTAATCGAACACGAAAATTTGATCATTACCAGCCCAACTATTAATGTTTAAACAAAAATCTATTTTTTTTTTTTTTACATTTCCCTCGCACCTAATTAGGTGTTTATACTAAATGCAGGTTCACCTTATTTACTAATATACATTTGCTAAGTGAACAGACTCTACTCCTTTAGTAAATCAACCCCAATGTGTACTTTGGGGTGTACTTTACAACATACAGGTTTATTATAATTTGCATGCAGCAGGAGTTAAGGGAAGTAGCCATTACTAATATGTTATTTGTAACTGTAATCCAGCAGCCTCTTCAAAGGGTGATGAGGAAGAAGAAGAAGGGGCAGTGAAGAACACCAATAAAAAAGGCAAGAAGGGAAAGAAATCCAAAAAGGTACAGCTTCTTAAAATAATTATATTGTGTACATTGTTACAAATATATTGCAAGGTTAAAAACATCAACATATATAGTCTTATTTACAAAACTGTGACATTGTATTCCTATCATGAACCTGCACCTCCTCACCTGGTATACAATAAATAGTTAACCAAGTAATTTCTATGTGATATCATTAGTATACAGTATAACCATGATAATTATAGATATTTTTCCATGGGGAGGTGCTCAACTCTTGATCTTTAGCAA